TTCATCAGAATTTCTGATGAAGGGTCTAGGCCCGAAACATCAGCCTTCCTGCTCCTATGATGCTGCTTGGCCTGCTCTGTTCACCCAGCTCTACATCTTGTTATCTCAGATTTTCCAGCATCTGCAGTTCCTACAATCTCTGATTCAATTCTACCCTCAGGTGATTGTCTGTGTGGGGTTTGCATGTTCTCCCTGTGTCTGCTTGGGTTTCCTCTATGTTCTCTGGTTTTCTCTCACAGTGCAAGAATGTGCAGTTTAGGTGGATTGGCTGTACTAAATTGCCCATAGTGACCAGGATGTGTAGGTTAGGAGGATTAGCCATGGGAGTTACAGGGTTGGGGATTGGCGTTGGGTCTGAGTGGGATGCTCCGCAGAGTATCAGTGTGGACTTGTTGGGCGGAATAGCCTGTTTTCATACCGTAGGGATTCTTTACTAGTCTTGGACCCACACTTCTCTGCTTTAAACAATACGTAAAATTCAATCATAGCATGATTGCTGCTCCTGAGGTGCTTTCACTCTGAAGTCACTACTTAATCCTATCTGTCCAAAACTAGGTCAAGTATAGCCTGCTCCCTGGTTTGTGACATAACATGTTGGCCTAAGAAATTGTCCCATTCAATGAATTCCCCATTGAGGCTACTTTCTCCCATCTGATTTTGCCAGCTTATATGTAAGTTCCAGCCTCCCACAATAACTGCCGTACTGTTTTGACGAGCTCCCGTTATTTCTTCTTTGATATCCTGTCCTATCATGTGCTTACTGTTAGAGAGCCTGTGCATAAGTCCCATTAGTGACCTCTTTAACATTCCTCATCTGTACACGGACTGGTTCTATGATTTGATTTCCTGAATTTAGGTCAACACTCCCTATTGTGCTAATATCATCTTTAATTAACAGAGTTGTTCCTCCAATCTTCCCTGGCTTCCTATCCTGTCTAAATGTTACATACCTTTTAATAGTCAGGTTGCAATCTAGGTGATTATGCAGCCATGTCTCCCTTATGGCCAATAAATTGCACTTAATGATCTCAATTTTGCACTGCTAGTTCATTGTTTGTTTTGAATGCTATATGCTGTCCTTTTATTATTTTTGTAAACTCTAGTCATAAATACTGCTTTACTCTTAGATCTGTATTCTCCGTCCCTTCCTCTCATTGTCTGGTTATCATTTCCTACATTAATTCCTTCCTCTGTTGCTTTACCCCATTCTTAGATTCACCACAACTTCCAAAATTTGGATCCTTGCCTCCACTATTTACTTTAAAACCCAGTCTACTTCCATAGTTATGCAGTTCACAAGAAAACCAGTCCCAGTGCAGTTCATGTATGGACCATCTCAATTGTACAGATCTCTCTTGCCCCAGCATAAGTGCCAGTGTCCCATGAACTGGAATCCACTTCTCCATCAGTCCTTTGGCTATATATTCCTCTCTCTAACCCTATTTATCCTATATCAATTTGCCCATGACTCAGGTAGATTATTACATTTGAGGTTCTGCTTCATAATTTGGTGCCTAGCTCCTTACGGCTAACCGACCATGCAGGACCTCTTTCCTCGTTCTGCCTATGTCATTGGTGTCTACATGGATCACGACAACTGAATCCTCCCCTTCCCGATGACAAGTTTTTCTCAGACCAGAGCGGATATGCACGCCGATTTTTTTTTTGTTTTTGAAAGTATATCAACCGCGGAGCCTCTTTTCCTATATTCATCAAACTGGTTGCTAGGAGAAGGAGGCTCCACTGTGAACAGAGATCGAGTGTAGAACATAGAACATAGAGCAGTACAGCACAGTACAAGCCCTTCAGCCCACGATATTGTGCCGAACTTTTACCCTAAACCTAAGGTCTATCTAACCTCCAGCCCTTCCTTACACTATCATCCATATGCCTATCTACTAGCAGCTTAAATGCCCCTAATGAGACCGACTCCACTACCCTCTCCGGCAATGCATTCCATGCCCCTACCACTCTCTGAGTAAAGAACCTACCTCTGATGTCTCCCCAATATCTACCTCCACTCACTTTAAAACTATGCCCCCTCGTAATAGCTACCATCACCCTATGAAAAAGTGTCTGGCTGTCCACTCTATCTATACCTCTGATCATTTTGTACACCTTGTGTACTATGCCTAAATTCCATGGAACAAGAACAGAAGTTGCTGGAAAAGCTCAGCAGGTCTGGCAGCATCTGTGAAGAAAAAAATCAGTGTTAACATTTCGGGTCTGGTGACTCTTCCCCGAACAGTTCTGAGGAAGGGTCACCGGACCCGAAATGTTAGCTCAGTTTTTTTCTTCACAGATGCTGCCAGAACTGCTGAGCTTTTCCAGCAACTTCTGTTTTTCTTCCTGATTTACAGCATCCGCAGTTCTTCTAGTTTCTAAATTCCATGGAGTTTAAAAGAATGAGAGATGATCACATTGAAATATATTTTTAAAATTCTTAGGATGTTGAGAAAACGTTTCCCCTAAACCAGGGAATCTCGAATATTGAGTCGCAGTCTCAGAATGAGGGATTGACTTTCAGGATTGAAATTCACTCATAGGATGGTGAATCATTGATATTCCCTGCGTCAGAGGACTGGATGCTCACAAATTGAGTGCATTCAAGACTGAGTTTGATGGATTCTTGGGCAGCGAGGGAATTAAGGAATATGGGAGCCATGCAGGACAGTTGGGTTGAGGTAGAAAATTAGCCATTATCTTATTGAATGGTTCTGCAGGCTCAAAAGGCTGAAGGGCCTACTCCTGGAGAGTTAAGTAGAGTGTTAACACTGGTGCAGACTAGTTGTACCAAGCGGCCTATTTCTGTCTTTGGACTCGATGTTTTTCCACATGACATTGTATACGGACTGCACAGAACCCTACCTTCATGGAGCGCTCTTCGAGCCAATGCTTCAAACTCGGCAAAGCTGTGTAGAATGTAACAGTGCTCCTCCTTGGGATGTGATGCCATATCCTGCAGCTCTCGAATGTTGCCCTGCCATATGCCGAGTGTAAAGATCTCCACCCCCAGGTTCCGCAGGGAAGCAGCGATAGGTCTCGGGTCCCCACCATTTGAGTAACCATCAGTGATGAGAAACACCACTTTAGTGGAGTTGGCCCGTGAATGCTGCAGAATTCGCTGGTGGAGAGAAGAGTGAGGCACGTTACTGGAGCCAAGTGTCCCAGAATTTCCTTGGAATTGCTCCTACAATTGCTCATCGTAGCTTGGCTGGAGATGGGCTGGCAGAACCTTTTCCACAGGTTTGTGCACCACAATTCCAGCAAAGTCAGCAATGACAGAAATGGGAGCAACATTGAGGAATTTATCCATGATGGTTCGAAGGTGATTTCTCCTCTCTTTATAACTGACATTCTCCTCCAACACTAAAACACAAGCAGCTGCAATCAAAACACTTAATATTTCACATAGACCTTTCTATTTACAAAGTCTGTATGTGTGTAACTGTGACGATGAGATATTAGGTTAGACTGGATGGGATCTTCAGAGAATGAACAAGATTAACTTTAACAGGATATTGAATAAGCAGGAGACGTGATTGGACTGGGTGATCCCAAGAAAAATACCAGCATATTTCCAATAGGCTGAATGGCCTATTCCATATGAGAACATTTTATTGTCCCATGATTTAATCTTAGAAATCACCATCTGTTACTAGATTAGGCAACAATTTGTGTACGTGCTTTTGGCAGCTTTTAGAGAAAGGTTTTAGAAGGTCTGGAGAAGATTGGAAGTGGTTCACTGAGAACCACTAAAGGGTTCATCACTACTAGTAAAACAAAGGAAAAGCAGAAAATCTGGGAAAAAAAAACAGCGAACGATGGCATTGGTGAGCATGTAAGGTACAAGATAGCTGTGGAGAAAAGCTGAAGTGAAAGAGGATGATTTGTAAAGGAGGACTGGTATCTTTTCATTTTGCACTGAGGGTCAGCCAGTTTGGGTGAGTGAGTGAAGGGCTGGATGGCCATTCGTGGGTCAAAGTGAAGCTGGGACTTGAGCAGGTTGGAGGCAGGCAAACAGGGCATTGGAGAAATGGAGATAATGAAGTCATGGGTTGGCAAGTGACGAGGTTAGTGAAAAACAGATAATATGACAAAAGCAGAGGTTACTGTCTTGCTGAGGGCTTAGAAATTGCTTTGAGGTTCTGATCTGGATCATACAGGATGGACACTGAGATTCCCTGCAGTTGAGGTCACACTGCAGAAGCAGGTAAGTATGGTGCGGGCAAATAGGTTCAGATCAGGGGGTGAAAACAATAATGAATTCACTTTTTTACAATCTTTAGTTGGAGGAACTTTTGTTTCATTTATAAGACTATGAGTAACTAGCAGGCTGCTGGCACAACTGCAGTTGTGGAGTCAAGGACACTGACAACTTGTGTCTATCAGCATCCAGGTGAAGCTAACACTTGGCTATGACAATCCGAAGAGGGGTTTCAATTGAAACTAGAAAGGCAAATAAAAATTACTGGGAGAACTTTTGAGATGGAAATGGAGGGAGAATTTATTTTCTTTTTTTCATTTATTTTTAAAGTTCTGCCCTGCTGAACACTAATCCAAATTGGTCAGAAATTCCTGAAATAATGAGAATAATCCCCACGGACATTGTGAGAGGAATGACTTTAACGTTTTTCAACTAGGCTGTATGTCGTTTGATAATTGACTTAACAGAATTGCTGTTATTTTTGGGCTACTTTATGATCAGCTTTCCTTTCATATATTCACACAGAGGAGGTGGTGGCCTAGTAGAATTATCACTGGACTGTTAATCCTGAGGCTGAGGAAATGTCCTGGGGACCCAGGTTCTAATCCTGTCATAGCACATGGTAGAACTTGAATTCAATAAAAATCTGGAATTAAGTATCAAATGGTGACTGCAAATTTAATGTTGATTGTTGAGGAAAATACCATCTATTTCACAAATGTCCTTTAGGGAAGGAACCTGCCATCCTTAGCTGGTATGGCCTACATGTAACTCCAGATCTGTGGGTATCTCTTAACTACCTTCCAGGCAATTAGGGATGGGCAGGAAATGGTGGCCTGGCCAGTGATGCCCTCAACCCATGAATGAAGTTTAAAATAAAACTTATTTGTTCCAAGTCTTTGGCCTTATGCCTCAATTTTACTTTGAAAGAGGAAGAATCTCTGTGCAAGTATTTTTGTAACTCAATCATTTGTTTACAAGCCATCAGTGTTATCCATTGCCAGTAAAACCCATGGCACTCGTTCCTGACTTTCTCAATCAGTCATTGACTCTAGGGGTAGTGTTGTAAGTTCCTGTCACTGTGACTGACAAGGTTAACTCTCTGCTGTAAACAAGACCACATTTTCCAAATACTGGATTCAGAACCAAGAGTTCTAAATGTTTTTATAATGAAATACGGCAGGCGTACAATGTTTGGTATGCTGTGAAGATTAATGGCTGACAATAAATTCTAAAGGTTTAATGATGGAGCTTTAAATCATTCATTCTAAATTGCAGTCAACCCCAGGCAAACGAAATTCCACACAAGTATTATTGTTACATAAGATTGCGGAAAGAATTTTAAGTTGTTGGTGAATTTAAGAGATGTTTTTATTTTGTGATATATTTACTTCACAGGCACAGGAAGAGGCCACCTGGATCATAGTGCCTGTGAAAGAGATGCTCAATTATTCCCACTCCCTTGCTCTTTCCCCATTACACAGCAAATTTTACTTCTTCACATTTTTGTCCAATCCCCTGTTTGGAAGTTACTTCCAAGTTGGCTTGCACTGCCCTTTCAAGCAGTGTATTTCACATCACGACTTCCTGCCCTTAAACTGAAAAGTTTCCTTGACCATCCTAATAAGATTATGAGACCATAAAACGTAAGAGCAGAAGTAGGCCTATTTGACCCTTCAAAGTCCACTCTGCCATTCAATGAGAACTTGCTAATCTGATAATCCTCAACCCTACTTCTCTTCCCTTACCCTCTTAACTCTTAATGTCCTTACTGATTAGAAATCTATCTATCTCAGCCTTGAGCATACGTAATGATCCAGCCTCAACAACCCTCCGCAGTAGAGAATCCTGCAGATTCACCGCCCTCTGAGATCCTTTCTGCATCCTGGTTCCGTTACCAATGATCTTACGTCTGGGACCTTTCGTTACCAATCCTTCTGCCACAGGAAACAATTTCTGGTTGGCATGGAGAGTTGGAGAAACAGTTACTACCTGATTGTTTTTGACCATTGGGACAACAAGGGATAATGCACATAAACATAGAAACATAGAAGATAGGGGCAGGAGGAGGCCATTCAGCCTTCGAGCCTGCTCGACCATTCTTCATGATCATGGCTGATTGTCCAACTCGATAGCTTCATCCTGCTTTCTCCCCATAACCTTTGATCCCACTTGCCCCAAGTGCTTTGTCTAGTCGCCTCTTGAATACATTCAATGTTTTGACATCAACTACTTCCTGTGGTAATGAATTCCACAGGCTCACTACTCTTTGGGTGAAGAAATGTCTCCTCATCTCCGTCCTAAATCATCTACCCCAAATCCTCATACTATGACCCCTGGTTTTGGACAAATCCAGCATCTGGAACATCCTCCTTGCATCTACCCTGTCCAGTCCTGTTAGAATTTTATTTGTCTCTATGAGAGTCCCCTTCATTCAACCGAACTCTAGCAAAAACAGTCCCAACCTAGTCACTCTCTCCTCATACGTCAGACCCGCCATCCCTGGAATCAGCCTGGTAAACCTTTGCTGCACTCTCTCGAGAGCAAGAGCACCCTTCCTCAGAAAAGGAGACCAAAACTGCACACGATATTCCAGGTGTGGTCCTGGTAGTGTTGTAAGTTCCTGTCACTGTGACTGACAAGGTTAACCCTCTGCTGTAAACAAGACCACATTTTCCAAATACTGGATTCAGAACCAAGAGTTCTAAATGTTTTTATAATGAAATACGGCAGGCGTACAATGTTTGGTATGCTGTGAAGATTAATGGCTGACAATAAATTCTAAAGGTTTAATGATGGAGCTTTAAATCATTCATTCTAAATTGCAGTCAACCCCGGGCAAACGAAATTCCACACAAGTATTATTGTTACACAAGATTGGGGCAATTGGGGCAAGTGGGATCAAAGGTCATGGGGAGAAAGCAGGATGAAGCTATCGAGTTGGATGATCAGCCATGATCATGAAGAATGGTCGAGCAAGCTCGAAGGCCGAATGGCCTCCTCCTGCTCCTATCTTCTATGTTTCTATGTTTATGTGCATTATCCCTTGTTGTCCCAATGGTCAAAAACAATCAGGTAGTAACTGTTTCTCCAACTCTCCATGCCAACCAGAAATTGTTTCCTGTGGCAGAAGGATTGGTAACGAAAAGTCCCAGACATAAGATCATTGGTAACGGAACCAGGATGCAGAAAGGATGAATCTGCAGGATTCTCTACTGCGGAGGGTTGTTGAGGCTGGATCATTACGTATGCTCAAGGCTGAGATAGATAGATTTCTAATCAGTAAGGACATTAAAGACACTACCAAGGCCCTCTATAACTGCAACAACACATCCCTGCTCCTATACATGAAACCTCTCAAAATGAAAGCCAATTTGCATTCTTTACTGCCTGCTGCACCTGCATACTTATCTTCAGTGAATGGTGCATAAGGACACCCAGGTCCCACTGCACACTCCCCTCTCCCAATTTACAGCCATTCGGGTATTAATCTGCTTTCTTGTTTTTGCTTCCGAAGTGAATAACCTCACATTTATCCAAATTATACTGCATCTGCCATTGATTTGCCCACTCACCCAACCTGTTGAGATCATGCTGAAGGATCTCTGCATCCTCATCACAGTTCACCCTGCTACCCAACTTGGTATCATCCACAAACTTGGAGATGTTACATTTTGTTCCCTCATCCAAATCATTAACATATATTGCGAATAGCTGGGGTCCCAGCACCGATCCCTGTGGCACCCCACTAGTTACTGCCTGCCAATTTGAAAATGACCCATTAATTCCTACTCTTGATTTCCTCTCTGCCAACCAGTTTTCTATTCATCTCAATACACCTCCTCCAATCCCATGCACTTTAATTTTGCACATTCATCTCTCACGTGGGACTTTGTCAAACGCTTTCTGAAAGTTCA